GGCTGCAACAATGGGCTCAAACATAGCAATGATAGTGAGGATGGCACAGGACCAGGCAACATTTCGTTCTGTTGCACATAAGGTTGCTAAGAATCAGAGCTGACTTGACAATCTAACAACAACTCTGAGTATGCTCAAGTAACTGGCTAAGTTACCCTCGTCTTTTAAAGACAGGGGTTCCAATAACGCCAGAGGTGCTGTTGTTATTGTTACCACCGGGAACTTTAATCACAGTCACCACTTGTCTGTCCGTGGAGGCTTGTGTGTTGCTCTGATGTTTCAGCGGAGCTTCTGGACTAAGACAGACTAGGAAGAAAGGCCTGATGATTTGCTTCTGAAAAATCAGCCAACGAAAACCCAATGGATCAAAATGGTCCAATCTCGTTGTGCAATCCCATTGTGCATGGGGTTGCCATGAGTCACGAGCTGACTCAATGGCAGCTAACAATAACATTCACTTGTCATATGTTGATACACTGAAAAACGAACCATCCACGTGTCTATACAAAGTGTAATCTGTACTTCATGCAGACCATGTGGAATGCCAAATGAAGATCTGAGGGAGCCCTTGTAAAAAAACATGAAAGAAAAACCTATGGTTTCTTGATGTGCGTGGGAATGAAAGCATCATGATTCACTTAGTTTTTTATATGTGGTCACATTTTCATTGGCATATAAATTGTTCCCAATTACTGCATCATGGGAGATAAGAAAGCAAATACATTTGAGTGGATTTGTCAGTATAATTCTTAAAAAACGGGAACAAAATAAATAAAAAGTTTATGGTATCTGCTTACATTATAACAACAACAAAAAAGGCACCATATTTAGGTACTTTAGTAAGAGCTCTTGGTATGAGTCCCTAGATGGCGCAAACAGTCAAGTGTGGTTTGAACCCCCTCATAGGCACCTTGGAAGACAGGCCTGGTGATCTGCTTCTGCAGAGTCACAGCCTTGAAAACCCTGTGGAGCAAGCAGTTCTACTCTGCCCACATGGGTTGTCATGATTTGGAAGCAACTCGACAACAACCACCTGATGTTTCCAGTGCTGGTAAGAAAGAGATAACTAGGTGGATTCTTTATCTTCAGTGCAGATCTCTCCACTGGATGGACAGCCTATTTCCAAGTGCCTAAATGGATATCTTTCCTTTAAACTCTACAGGTCCAAGTTTATAATAATAACCCTCAATCTAAATAATTTATATTAGAATCCAACAAAAAATTTCCTGGCATGGGTACTGGAATAATTTTCAATGGGGATAAAGTTTAAACAGAAATGACTCTCAGGCAGATGATGATGAAGGCAATAAACCAGAGAGGTGACTTAATATTTTCTTAAAAGCTTGATTTTAAGCTTGAGAACAATCATTTCATGACTAGATAAAGGATTCCCCAATTATTTCCTAGCTATCATCACTTAAGCTCTCCAATGCTGCCTTGTTTTAAAAAATATGTATTTTTGGTGGTGGGGTTTCAAATCCAAGTGGCAAGAAATAGAAAAATGGTGTATGAGAAGCTCCCCCTTGGTTTTGCTCTCTTGCCTGGAGGGAATTTATGAGGGAGACTATTCCTTGGATATCATCTTCCTTCCTTCAGCACCCAGCCCCAGAGAAAGGCACACTGTCCTTGCATTTATACACATAGAACATGTTACATATCTGTTTTCCTGTTAAGACTGTGAAATCCTAGATAACACAGGCTATTTTATTTGTCTTTGTATTCCTGACCAAATAAATATTTGAAGAATGAATACATCAGCTATTTCTGCATAGCTGAGAAACCTGAGTTTGCAAAGACCTCCAGTAATCTTCAGCCTGGTAATCTGCAATTTAGAAAACACTGATAGACCACTGAGTGCCTACTGGATACTCAATGCTATATTTTATGTGTTTTGAGAAAGTTAACAAACAAGACACTGACAGAGCACTGAAATCCTGTTTCAGCTATTCTCTGTGAACCTCTGTTTCTAGGTTTTCTCATCTGTGTATTTGGAATAACAGTACTTACCTTATAAGGTATTTGGTAAAGCAGAGAGTCATCGAAAATGAGGGAAACCCTCAGTGAGATGGATTGACACAATAGCCACAATACTGGACTCAAATATACCAACAACGATCATGAATATAGCAACGGACCAGGCAACATTTCATTCTGTTATCTGTAAGATCACCGTGAGTCTGAGCCAACTGGAAGGCAACTAACAACAAACCTCATATAATTTGTTGTGAAGATTACATGGCTCGGCGCACGCAAAGCTCTGAGAACAGTGTCTGGAGCATGGTAAGCACTCAGCAAGCATCAACAATGACTATTATTACTGAAGGTCTCTAACTACGTCTGCCAAAGTTGGGGGAGAAAAACATCCCAAAAATCTAAGTAGGTTATCTTTTATTCATACAAACAGTACATACACAAGACTGTAATTGTTTGAAGACTGCAATATTTTTCTAGTTTAACAAGTCTGTAACAAAATTTAACTAAATGTAACATTTATGAAAATATAAATCTCTGATTGGGTAGTTCTTCCCAACAATACAAAGTTTACATAAAAACATTCAATATGAGCTATCAGTTGCAAACAAGTTAGGAAAAGTCATTCAAGTCACTTGTTAATACTCTATTGGCTTTTACACAGAACATTCACACACTACATTTAATCTGTCTAGGCATTTAATTATGGTGTTGAATTATGGTGTTGGTGAAGAATATTGAATATACTATGGACTGCCAGAAGAACGAACAAATCTATCTTGGAAGAAGTACAGCTAGAATGCTCCTTAGAAGCAAGGATGGCAAGACTTCGTCTCACATACTTTTGACAAGTTATTCAGAAGGGACCAGTCCCTGGAGAAGGACATCATGCTTGGTGAAGTAGAGGGTCAGAGAAAAAAAGACCCTCAACAAAATGGATTGATACAGTGGCTGCAATAATGGGCTCAAACATAGCAACGACTGTGAGGATGGCGCAGGACCAGGCAGTGTTTCGTTCTGTTGTACACAGGGTCGCTATGAGTTGGAACTGACTTGACGGCACCTAACAACAGGCATTTAATTCTCAGAAATGTGTGGCATGGAGCTCCAATTGACAGGGTTAAAAGTGTGCTGTCTCTGATGAGCTAAAAAAGCATTAATTCATAAATCAACTCCAGGTGGTCTGTATGTAGGTCTGGGTGTTCTCTGGGCTACTACCTATCTGGCTGGTTGCTAGACTAGGAGAAATACACTGAAAAAAAGTCTTTCACCATGGAGTGGGGTGTTTACATCTGAGTCATACCTTTGAATGCTTATGTGCCAAACTGCTTTGCAAAGTGAAATGCAAATGACTTGGATTCTCTACTGGATTGGATCTGTTTCTCCCATTAGCATCAACAATCAAGATGTTGCTGTATTTTCCCTCAGGTAGCTCCCCAATTCCCATATGAGGGCTTGAGATGAAGTTGTCACTTCCTTTGTTTCTGCAGTTTACAGAAACAATACACTGGGGAGGTGAGAGATCTGTTTGGTGATGAGTTCATGGCAGAGCTGGACTGAAAGCAAGTCAGTTTCTTGTTCGTTATTCCTCCCCCTGCTGCTGCTTTTAAATAAAACCAAACCAAACCACTGCTACTGATACCTCGGAAAAGTTTTCCAAGGATATGCCATGTGGAGGATATGGAAGGGAGGAAATCACTTTCACCTTGTGGGATGTAATATATATATATTTTTAAGGTGAAGTAGTTTTTAAAAAATATTTACTACCATTTCACAGCTTCTGCTTTGAAACGGATGACACTTACAAAAGGCTCAGAACAGTCCTCAAGCGGGAAGTATAACAGATAAAGGAGCATACATACAGTGTGTAGGAGTAAGAAAGTGATTACAAACAGGGACGATAAAGAACCTTTGGACACCCTTAAGATTTATGGAATATTTTAGCACAAAGACAGGCATATTCAGTTTGTCCCAGAGTATTTGGTCATCTATCTGAGTTTTACACAGAAGACAGGAGGAATGAGAGTAAGGCAAATGTCATCAGTATTTCATACATGGTGTGTTGAGAAAGCTTTTCTTCTATTAAGATTTACTGTTGGGATTTAGGAAATAATTTACGCTTCCATACAACTGACTAAATAGTACAAACTTTTGGTAGTACAATGACAGATGTGAACAGGAGTTTTGAACAAACTTGTAATGCCCTTTCGGTAATTCTTTTTACACCCAGCACAAATATGCATTCCAAGAGACATGAAAAGATGGTAGTTTCTTATTAAACACGTTCTTTTGCAACCCAGAAAAGAAATAGTTTAAAAATCACATATTCCATTATGTAGAAACCCTTGCATGCAGCTGTTGCAACTTTTAAAGAAGACTGACTCTCCAGGTTCAGTAGCCCTATGATAATTGTGATTAGTTCTTGTCCTAGTCCAGTTCGTAGCCTCACATTTCACACTGTTTCACTTGGGAAATGGAGAATACATCTGGGCATTTTTGTTACATTATTTTGCACCTTTATACCTTCCATCCGCAGACTGGGTTTACACAGTTGTCAGGATTGTAAAATGTAAGGAGAGATTAAGGCTGTGTTTACTTATGTCCACACAACTGAAGTCAAACACTTCTTTGTCTTCATGATGTCAACCTATTTTTGTAGACCTAATTCCAATCCAAATTGCCTGTATGTAACTCTGGCCCTTCTCATCTGAACCAATGCAATGAACTATGTTACTTCCTACCACACAGCTAATTTTAAAGCTACCCTGTAACTTTCAGGTAAAGTAGCCATTTAAATACATTTTCTACAAATTCTCTGTCAAAACTTCATTTCTGGCTAAACTGACAAAAAAGACTAAAACCAAAACCAATTTCACATTACCGTACAGTTCATGAGGATGCTAATAAACACTGGAAATCCATCATCTTTCCTGTCTAATCAGAAATGAGTAGTTTATCATTTGGGATACAGAAGACATATATATATTTTTTCTTCTGTACATGTACTGTTGACCAGTACAAACATTTCGTCAGTTATCAGGGGCAAAGCTGTGGCCCCTGGATTCTAGGGCAGAGCTCACGCGGTCATAACAAGAATTGCGTTTCTTGGAAGGCGTTGCTTCATTGGAATCTGTGGAGTCACTCACTGTGATAGGACTGTCTCTTGCAAAGACCTCGGTAGACTCTCTCCATAAGCAATCCACAGATACTTTAAAACAGTAACTGTTACACTTTGGCCTGGATGTCTGTGTTGCATTGTTGAAAATTTGTCTGCTATTAGAAGTGGCAATTTTAATTTTCAGAGCGGCATCTACGCGGTCCACCACTGTGTATATCCCAATACTCCCATCGTCAAAGCCCACGATGATGTTCAGGTGCCTCTGGGAGAGTGCAAGAAAAGTCGGTGTTTTGTAAAGCGAACAAGCACCGATATTTTTGCCATCAGCCAACCTCATTACAATTAAACTGGATATTGCGCCATTTTCATCCTCCTCCTCCCCATTTCGGAAACAAATGTATACCAGGTAGCGGCCGTCTCGAGACAACCTCTGCCGCCAGATAATCCCAGAGGCGTGAACGACTCGTAATTTACCACTGTGTAAATCAAGCACATTGATATTTTCATCTCCTCTGGATATAATGCCTAGCTTTCCATTGGGAGAAATTTCAAAATCCTCTAGATTTTTCAAGAAGTTGTTGGGAAGTTGCACGCGTCGACAGATAACTTCATCTGTCAGACTCCAGACGTTCACAGTCTCGGCTGATGTAATAAACACTATGAAATCAGGACAGTCGGGGATCAATTTAAAATTCACAATGGTGATCCCATCTTCACAGCAAAATTTCTTGGTGATACTTCCTGTCCAAAGACTGACCGCCAGCACTTTGCTTTTGGTCATCCCCACCACAAAGGTATTTGCGGAGGTTATAAAGGCATTCTGCAAAGTGGTCAAAATGTTGCAGACCCTGTGGCCCGTGGCCAATCTCCAAACCCTTGAGGCATTTTCCTCGCACAGTGAGACCACAAACTGGTCATTGTGTGTAATCAGCAGCTGAGATATTCTCTGTCCATTAATTCGGAAGAGGTTTTCACCGCTGCTGGTGTGCCAGACATACTGGCTGCTTTTGTCATCTGATGTCACCATGATGTCTCCAGAAGATGTCAACACACAGTGTTCAACTATTCCTTCATGCTTAAATACGGCTTCGATGAATCCGTTGCTGAAGTTCCACTTATGAACACGGTCAGAGCCATCGAGGGAGTAAATTATTTCCCCTCTAGCAGGTAACACCAGACTTTGGATGGGTTTTCCAGTCTTATCTATGTTGGACATAGCAGTGATTATGTCTATATCCCAGATGGAAAGAATGCCACTGGTTGATAAAGACAGCAGCATATTGTGGTGACTAGATTTAACCAACTTAACTATGGTACCTGAGATTTCCTGTAAGCTTGCCATACACTGTCCCGTGTCCCGCCTCCAAAAAAACACGGCTGAGGTATTTTCCATGGTTGCAATGATACAGTCTCCATTTTTGGACAGCACGGCAGATATAAAGCGCTCGTTGTGCTTGGCTCTGAACTTTTCAGCAACCTTCCATATGCCAGTATCTAAGAGTTCAATGCTAAGGGCTTTACAGATCAGAATTGCATTTTGGTCCTCTGAAAGTTCAATGCCAACCACCTCGCTGTCTTCTCTTCGGCAGTCAAAGTCATCAGTCAGTTGGGGGTTTGAAATGTCCTCAGTATTCCAAACAGAAAGACTCCCCTCACTATCTATCATTACCATTTCTTGAGCTGTGTCCAAGATCAGGAGAAACTTCACAAATCCACCTGAGAATTCAGATGTCACCGTACATATCTTTTCTCCACTCCCTAAGTGAAATATGGTGGTAGTGTTCAGGTACTGTCCACAGAAAGCATACATACCGTCCAGAGAGCACTGGACACAGGTCACTTCGTACCAGCAGTGGAACTGGTGAAGGGGCCATCCGTAGAGCAGATCAATGACAGTGACATCTTTGCTGGCCTCTAGCCATGCAAGGGCATGGTTGACGGACAGTGTAAACCCATTGATGTAGGTAGAGGCACTTCCATGCTTGGTTCCTTTAATTTCCACTTCAGACAGGAGACAAGAATTTAAGTTGTCATAAATCAACAAGGTGTTGTTTGTTGTAGCCACTACAAGGTACTTCTCATCACTGGTGAGTTTCATGCCCAGGATGACAGACTGGGCTGTGGTGATTTGCCTGAGGAGCTGGCGAGTTTCTACATCCCAAGTGCTGATGGAACCATTTTCTAAAGCTGTGAGGACGGTACTGGGGTTACAGGTAGGCAAAATCTCTGTGACATGCAGGTGACTAGATGACAAGGGCAGACGCTCTGGGCTATACGTCACATCCATGGATGAATGTAATGGCACTATGGAGCAATATTTGGGCCCGTCTTTGTCACACTCTAAAAGAAGGTGTCGAAGTTTGGGCAGGGAACTTATAACAGGCAGTAGCCTCTGCTGAAGCTCTGCTGAGAGGGAGCCAGGAAAAGCAATGACCTTGTTTTTGATGCTGCGGAGGGTGCTGGCCAGGAACTTCAGCTCCTTCTCTTGTGAATGGTTGTAAGCCAGCTCGATGTCTAAAAGTACTTTGTCAAACTGGCCAATTTTGATCATGGTATAAAGCCAGCTGAAGTTCATGATGATGCCATAAAGCAGGTCATCGGTTTTTCCACACCTAGTCAGGTGGTATAAAAGCTCAGACATTTTCCGGTGATTGACAAAAAAGATATCAGGCTCTAGTGGATTACACTGGAAAACCCAGGGCTGGTCCGGGGCCTGCCTGTCAAAGGAAGCCTGTTCCATGAAGTGCTTTTCTTCCTCAAGCAGGCTTCTGCTCTCGAAATCAAGGCAGCCATTCAAGTAGGAGTCTTCGAGGCAGAAAGCTTTCCTCCTGCCCCCTGACCAGGCTCCCAGAAAATAATCTGCCATGATGGTGTGCATTTCATGCAGGTTACTGTCATCCTGCAGATATAGCTTCTGTGCAATGAGCTGCAGGTGTCTGTTGGCCCAGACCAGGAGCGTGACGTTCTTCACGTGTCTCTCTATTAAGTATCCACTGAGGCCTTCCTTGAGCCTCGCAATGTACAAGTAAGGTACTCTCAGGGGGTTACTGGGCCTGGCATTTTCATTGAGCTCATTCATAACAGTATTGTCTAGGGCTAAAACATCCTCCAGTTCCATTTCACTCAAACCCACTTTGGCCATAGTGATATAACCCAGAGCCCTGGAGACCAGCTTCTGACCACACCTCTTCTCCAAGGACCAGAATAACTGCTCTATACTTTCATGAACGGTAACACAGAGGGAAGATTCATCGACATCTTTGTGAGATCTCCAGTGTCTCACCTCCCTGAAGGTCAGGTTCACAAACATCGGTAGTGTGCACTTGGAGAATGCATTGTTCACGTAAATTTGCTGGCCTGATGTGACCTTCCTTTTGACCCGCAGCAGCTGGTGTTTGAGCACCTGGCTGCACATTTTCTTATCCCGTGGAATCAGCTCGATGTAGTTGTCTTCTTCATAGATAAGGCACCTTAGTTTCTGCAGGATCCCATGTTTATTGGGCAGTGTGGAGAGGACGATCCGTACAAAGCGAGGCAGGTGAGCAGGGAGCCACCAAAGCTTCCTGGCGTCGTCGCTCTCTGAGAGCTGCTCGAGGGCATCGAATATTATTACCAGAGGTCTCTGCAGTGAAGACTCGTTCAAAAGGTTTATAAATAAGTCACGGAGGTCATGGATCTTTTTGGGGTAGCTTTGAACCAGACATCGGTAGTTAATTGCCAACTGCTCGCAAATACTTAGAAGGAGAGTCCTAAGGTCAGTACTCATGTCTGTGGTTCCTAGAAATCTCATAACTATGACTGGGTCAGATTCCGGTCCCATGTCTTCATGTAGCCAGCCAAAAGCCTAAAACATAAAAGTGGCATTTAGAATGGTAATATATATTTACATAGTCATATCCAACAACGTTTCCTCTCTCCAGAGGTCAGACTTTTGGTAACCACTGCCATGCAAAAAGAAGCCTAGAACTAGGGACTGGCAAAACCTTTGGAGAAGGCAAAAGAGCTGTCACAAAGCTCATGCACTAAAATCCATGGGTGAGACCCTCAGGATCACCCTTAATAAGGGTAATAAAATGGTGATGACACTATTATTCAATCATAAGGCAATGTTTAGCTTATATCCTAAAAATTATAAAGTGTTTCATAAACAGTCAATCTGAGTACCTAGTACAGTCAGTATTTATCATTGAATCCCCATTTCCTGGAACAGTTGTTGGCACATAATAGGTGCTTAGTATTTGTTTAATGAGTGAATAGGTTAAGTAATGATTTACACATTACATTGAGTCAAATATTTTCATTGAGATCAAATGATATCATGTATAGTTAACCAACTGTCCAATTAGTTAGAATGCAATAAAAAAGTACTCAGTACTAAAATTATACTGAATATAATCTCTTATGATTCAGAAGATAGTTTGCTATACTGTGGCGCTATACGGTTAATCATTTTCATGATTATTTAGCATTGTAATAAAAATCTACGTAATGCTGGTTAAAAAAGTTTTGTTAAATGTTAAGCTTTGTAACAGACAGTTTGCTATATAAATATGCAGTCATCTGTTGTGGTGCAATTGATTACCTTTGTATGTGGCCTTTCTAGCCATGGTCTTGTAATTCCCACCCAATTGATTGGGTGGGACTGTGTGATAGGGTAATTGTGGCCCACCAAAGGGATTGGTCAGTTTTGCCATCCTGCTGGCCTTGAAATGAGCCACCCCAGAGGCAGGAAAGAAAAGAGCCCACTACCACCAAGGAAGGAGAGACCGGCAGGAAAAGACCCTCAGGAGACGGTGCAGTGAGCTTCCCAGCCCACTGAGAAAGCTGAGCGCCTGTGGGCAGAGACTGAGGGCCAGGGAGAAGCCTACGCCTAACCCACAAATTTGGGACTTGCCAGCCTCCACGACTATGTGAGCCATTTCCTTTATACAGTTCGTGAGTTCTGTGTGAAGTTGCAACAAATTACGGAACCCAAAGATGGGAGCGAGAGTGCTGAACGAAGAGGGAGCAGTTGATGTCAGAGATGATGGAGTGGTACAGCAGCCTGGAAAAGTTGGACATTTGGGACATCTTTGACCTCTGCCTCACAGGAACCAGCTTTGTGCTGATCCTTATAAGAGAAATTATTCATTTATCTGTCCTCACATTTCCTCTCTGAAGGACAGATGGGATTATAATATCATTTAACAGAAGATGAAACCAAAGCCCAGGCTGGATAAATGGCTTGCTTGGAGTTAAATAGTTATGAAGAGATTGAGCTGGAGTAGAAGTCATACCTGCCTTCCATTCTAGCGCTCTTCCTTTTTTCTTCTTAAACTAGTGGAGTTAAAGAGATAAAATACATGAGGTGGCTGTTTAGTACTTTTCCGTCTGGAAAGGCAAGGATGAGAAAGGAAATAATCAAGTACAAAACACTCCAAAGAGTCCTCTTAGGGGGATGAAGACTTTCAGTAATCTTCGGAATTCACCAAGGATACTCCCTAGAAAGTGATGTATTATTTTACACATTAAAAAGTAATTTTATGAAACATGGTTCCTCAAGAGATTGATCAGGATAAAGTATGAATAAGTTTAGGAAAGATTGCTGGATGTCAGCTTTATAATGAGATATTAAGAAAAATTAAAAAAACATTTTTTTGGTTTAGCTCCAAACTTTGATGCTGATTTCAAGGAAGATAATATTGTCTTCCTACAGCTGTCTTTTGTTTCCTATCAATTTGATGGTTTCTACATTGATTATGGCCCTACAGTCAGGAGCTCATGTCCGTGGGAATGTTGGGTAATGCAGGAGATAGTGCAAGATTAACATTAGATGTCTGTCTGCATCCTCACACAGGACATGAGGTCGAAGAAGAGCACAGGTTTGCTGGGGGAGAGGGAGAGCCCAGATGTTCCCCAGGAGAGAGGAGAGTGGAGTGCAGGAAGGAGATCAAGAAATAGGGGAGGCTTCATGGGGGACCAGAATCCTGGACTGTAAATAGACAGACTTAGGTGGCTGGACAAAAATATCCAGAACAGCAAGAGCTCAGAAGGCCATTTCTCAAGTTGATCAACTCTGGATTCAGTCAGCACTCTCTGCCACAGCTGGGATTGCTTATCTATACACAGCACACCAGCACATTTCCTCATAATTCTTTACCTCCTGGACTAGAGCACACGCAGTTGCAACACATGCACATTTAATTTAGTCAAATTTGACAATATTTGCCCCCTCCAGCCACCTCTATCCTTCACACCCCTACAATGAGAAAAGCCCTGGAGCAATGGTGAAATACGAACAGGAATCTGTTTTCTCATTTGATGTTAGTTCCCATATGCCTCTCACAGTATCACCGCTGCTGTCGAGTGGATTCCAACTCATAGCGACCCTATATGACACAGCAGAACTGCCCGGTAGGTTTCCAAGAAGTGGCTGGTGGATTCTAATTGACAACCTCATAGTATTATTATCTTGCTTACTTGGAATAATTTGTGTCTGAAGCTACACATAACTAACACATTAGTGCTTGAAGACAGACACACAGACACACAAACAGACACATTTACTTTGTGGCAACACGGCCCCAAAGCTTGTTACTTTACCTGGTGCTCAGCTAAACAAAGAGCTGTAATGTTCCAACATAAAAAGAAAATCCAGCTGGGCTTGACGTATTAAGAAATGGTAAACTGGCTTTCTTAAGGACTTTTCAAGGGTAAGTTTGACATACCTGATTTTCGCCTCTGAACTTACTTTGGAACCTAATCCCCACAGAGGATGCACTGTGACTGTACTCATTTTGTCCTAGAGATGACCAACTTTAGATTGTGTAGCACATGCCAGATTATGAGAATGTTAACAAGGGTAAAGAACACTATTTTTAAGAGACTAACCACAGGAAGGACAATACAGAGATTCCAAAGTTACACGAGAATAATAAAACTATCATACTTCGATACTAAGTGGAACCAACTATAACCAAACCAAATCCATTGCCATTGAGTTGATTCCAACTCAGAGCAACCCTACAAGGACAGAGTAGAGTTGCCCGATAGAGTTTCCAAGGCTATAAATCCTTACAGAAGCAGACTGCCACATCTTATCCTGTGGAGCAGCTGGTGGGTTTGAACTGCCAGCCTTAAGGTTAGCATCTGAACACTTTTAACCACTGTGCCACCAGGGGTCCTTACTAAATAGGAAGTTAAAAATGGAGCTACTGTAGTCCAGTTTAGGTTGAGGTGCCAAGACAACAGATACTACATTTCAAAATGAGGTTCCAGACCATCACGCAGGATTTGCAACAGAGGTTCTGTAAGCAAGTTCTGCTGCCTTCAGTGGACTACCCACCTGTGGCCTAAAAAAAGGGACTGGAGAGGCCAAGAAAATAGTTGCAGATTAGGTGCTATGGACCATATGTATCACCACCTCACCCTCAAGGGGGAGGGCTAGGGGATGCCACCACTCACTTCTAGCTGGGGGAAGGGACTTCAAAGGACCACTTACAGGCTGTCCCTAGAGCTGGGGGAACATAACCAGGGACAGACTACCCAATAAGCAAGGTGTGCATGGGCTTAATTGTGCTGATTTACTTATCTGCAGTACACAATTTCACCTGTTTTTCACCATGTCAGAGATGTGGTGACACCCACGTGAAACTGCACTACAGATTAATAAGTAACAATTAAGTCCGTGTGTACCTTGCTTACTGTAAGCCAGTGTGTATTGTGCTTACTGTTTAATCCACCTCTGGACATAGCCATCTGATGACACCTGAGAAATATAAAGGCTGAGGGACTGAGGCTGGCTAGTTGCTCTGATGGAGGATTGACAGAATGCTATTGTACTGGGATCTCTGTCTATGTTTTCCCCTAACACTTTCATTATGTTTAACATTGGTGTATTATATTCCATTTTATTCCTTACTTGGTCATCCCTAGATGCACTTTTACTCCCTTTCTCATGTTCATTTGGACGCGCCATCGTTTCTCTGTTCTTTATGTGTCTTGTTATTTTTGTTGGGGGACTGGAATTTTTGAGGGTGTTAACCTTCTCAGTTCTCCTCAGTATTTGGTGTTTTTGCCTGCACTACTGTCTGCAAAAAACTCTTAGGTAGGCAGAGCCTTTGGCCTTTGCTTACCATTTCCCTCCCTCTCTGTGAGAGCTCCTCCCCCCTCCCTGGTTTAATTAGGATTAGAAAGTTCCAGATTTAGGTTTTCAACTTTCGATATGTCCCAAACACACCAGAGAACACGCTGCGGTCCATCTGTCCACCAGTGGTCACCGGCACTCAGGAGAGATATTGTGCACTAGTCAATCTGTCCACCAGGGGGTGCAGTCCTCTCTCTCTCACTCTGAGTATTACACCCTTCCCTGCTCTGTTTCTGCAACCAGAAAGCTACTGTACTGGAACTGGCCTCTATATCTAGAGTATCTCAGGGCAAAAAAATACCTCTTTCCAATGTACCAGATGTGGGCCACAGGCCAAGAGTGAGATGACAAGAGTTTTTGTTTTATTTTGCGTTTTTTGTCTCCTTGAACAAAGCTGTCATTATTTGTGATGTACAAATACAACCAATGCAAAAACAGATTGTCTTCCCCTTTGATTCCAGTTATAACAAGTTGCTAAATACATATATATATATCTCAAGAAGTTTATCTTCAAAGTTTACTCTAAAAAAACAGAAAGGGTTAAAAAGAACCATACACATGTCATATACACATACCCACCAACAAAATAACCTGAAACACGGTGGATACGACTTAAAAAAAAAAAAGCTATCTTAAAAAATATCTTAACATGCCCCAAACAAAAAGCCTGGTACAAAAGGCTTGCAATATTTCTCAAAACCAAGACCTGGGGGAAGAGAAAGACTGATGTCCAAACCCCTGCCCAAGGACTTTGCAGTGGAGAGAACCTGAGCAGAAAGACTGGAAATGAATTGCTGGATGTCAAGGAGCTGAGGAAGTGACCATCTGGTAAAAAAGCAATCCCCTGTGCCTAGGGAACTGTGGGTGAGAGAGGTTCAGCAAGGACAGGGCTGGGGGTTTCGGGGGGGAATGGCCCCCAGGAAACCATGAAATGTCCACAAAAGAAAAGGGGGGTAGCTTCAAACATCTACCAAGACCGGAGCCCGGTTCACAGTTGCACTGGTTGCCTCAGAACTTTCTTGCTACCTTACCTTTCCTGCATCCCATAAACTGCAAGCCTGAAAGGGGTGATAAATGTGGTTGAGGTAAAGGAAGGAGGGAAGGAAGTGCTATGTGGAGAAAGAAAGGAAAAGGTAGCCCTGTCTCCATTTCTCACTATAGATGCCTTGCTCACAGTAGGCCTCAGCCGGGGGAGAGAAATACAGATTGAAGTTTTAATTATTATCTTAGACTAGACAGATTAATTACTAAACTGAGACTGTTTTAGTGACCAGAAGCGACTGGCGGGCTTGTTTTTGTCTGAGAGGGACGAGAAGAGTCGTAGGATCTGTTCCAGTTTTCATCCAAATGGGAAGGAGGAACTAGCCCCACAATATAAGTTTGAATCAACAGTAAAAGAAAACACTAAAGTGGCTTTAGAATTATACCCCATGAGTCTTGTTCTTTCAATATAACTGTTACACAAGCAAAAGAGTAACACTGAAGTTTCCATTCAAAAAGGACTAATTATAATTCAGACTGTAGTTAAGTATAGAAATAGAAATGAATTTGATTAATTTATCTTTCCAAGAGTAAGTCTGTTTGTTTTTTTTTTAAACCAACATTTATGAAAAATAGGATCTTACCTTCTTTGCTACTTCGGCTAGCAGAAGAGTCTTCCCAGTGCATGGTCCACCATATACAATAAGAGGGTTTATGGGCCCAGTTTTGCTTGGAAGAATGTATTTATGCACTATGTTTAGAGATTCACACTTGTACTCATAGAAGGAAGCATACGTTTTACACAGTGAGGAATGCCGAAGGATTTCATCATAGAGTGTATCAGTTTCAGTATCAAAATTTTGTTGTACCGTGGCCTGAATTATATCAATCATATCCTCATAAAATTGTTTACAAAGTCCTTCTATGTAATGATTTTCTATTTCTTGGGAATAGCCTAGCTTCATGTCACAATGAGTAACAGAGGTATACACTCTCAGATTTGATGATGCAACAATCGTAGGAATAAATTCATCCCTGAGTTTTATCAACTTCTCTTGGGCTTCGGGGTCTCGAATAATCCTTGGTTCTGTTCCAGTGATATCCGTGTATTTTCCCATCTCTGGGATTTTCACAAAACGCTCAATGTTAGCAATCTTTCTAATGTAGCAAACACATTTCTTCAGGAATGCTGGAGTTTGTTTTCCTAGAGCGAAGTCAAACTCGTCCTCTATGGCTGAAAGAGAATAAGATAAGGCGTTTATCGCCTAGAACAAAGGGGCAATGAGCCAGCATTCAACTTGTAGTGCTTAATGGAAGATTAGCTTGTAGCAGAGTAATCTATAGAAAAATTTATTAATCCCCTACTTATTTGTCTTTCTCTAAGCAGCCTGGTACCTAGACAAATGGATTTTAAATAAAATTATTTAATTTCCTCCTCATTCGAAGCGAGATATTGAACATAAGCATAATAAAGAAAGCATGCCAAGTTTATAACTGATTCTTTTAAGCTGATGCTAACTTCAACTTTCACACTTCAGTGGTCTTAAGAGTAAAGGGCAGGGACCAGTTTGGGACAGGAAAGAAAGTGGGGAGGTTGACTGACATATCTAAGTTACATGCTCCTTTTCATTCTATCCTTTACAATGTGGCTTCACCATTTTCTTTGATATGTATTGAACCCCAGACATGTATGTTTAAATAGGAATACAAAAGCACATTTCAAAACAAAATATAATCATGTTCTGACTATTGATCAATGTGAATTAGCAATATCACTGTTCAATTCTATTACATCCAACAGAACAGGTATAGGAAAAGTCACTTATTATATAACTTTATGTCTTGTAAAATAAACCATATTATAGCATAATACATGTGCTTACACACATGTGAAAATACATTATAAATCATTTGATGCTCCATAAGAACATTTGAAACTGAACTGATAGTAATAAAAAATAATTGTGCATGAGTTTAGGAAAGAAAAAAAATAAAAAAGTTTAATCACTGGAAAAGAATTTTAAGGCAAGCAGTCTTTTAAAACCAGCTGCCCTTCCTTCCTTCCTTCCTCCCTCCCTCTCTCCCTCCCTCTCTCCTTCCCTTCTTTTGGTCTTTATGGAGCACCTACTATGTTCCAGGCAGGCTGCTAGCTGCTCAGGACATAATGGTGAGAGAAAACAGAAAACACAGAGAGAAAAAGCCATTACAGAGCTTGCAGTCCAGTGCAGGAAGGCAGACATCGTTGTTCGGTGTCACTGAGTCGGTTCCAACTCATAACAACCCCATTTACAACAGAATGAAACACTGCCTGGTCCTGCGCCATCCCCACAATCACTGTTACGTTTGAGCCCATTGTTGCAGCCACTGTGTCAATCCATCTCGTTGAGGGTCTCCCTCTTTTTTTCGCTGACCATCTACTTCATTAAGCATGATGTCCTTCTCCAGGACTAGTCCCTAGGTGGCTGCTTGTGTGCTGCTGTGTTGCTACAAGCTATGCCACTGGTATTTCCAATACCAATAGGGTCACCCAGGGTGGACAGGATTCAGCGGAGCTTCCACATTAAGACAGACTAAAGGCCTGGCAATCTATTTCCAAAAAAAAAAAGCCAGTGAAAACCTTATGGATAGCAGGGGAACACTGTCTGGTGTAAGTGCTAGAAGATGAGCCCCTCAGGTTGGAAGGCACTCAAAATATGACTAGGAAAGAGCTGCCTCTTCAAAGTAGAGTCAAACTTGATGTGGACAGAGCAAAGCTTTCGGGACCTTCATTTGCTGATGTGTGTGGCACAACTCAAAATGACAAGAAACAGCTGCAAACAGGCAGACATTAGAGTTACAAATAAGTGTATTATGATTGTTCTTAGTCCCGTGAAGGGGAAGAACATGGTGTAATGAGAGCAAACAGTCAGGGGCTCTAACCCACTGGGGAAAGTCAGGGAAGGCTTTCCTGAGGAGCTGACCATTGGGCTGGGATCTGATGGAAGCAGGGGAGGGGCTCTGAATACACAGGGCTGGTCTGGCCATAAGTGAAAAAATGTCACTGTGCTAGCCCAACTCCAGTGTCAAGCACAACGCAGAACACAGACATATTCTACGAAGTAACTATATTTTATTTAAAAAAATGATTGAGTGCTTTTCAGTGGAACTCCTGTGATAATACTTTTTTAATAATGATAACAATAGACTGAAATTTGTGAATTAAATAAAAAAATACAAGTTTCTAGGCACCAGTATTCAGTGAGGTGTGCCATGCACATCAGTATGTTTTACAAAGGGTTTTAATCAAGCATTGTGGTTAAGGAGGCCAGTGAAAAGAGCTTATGCAACATATGTCTACTCTTCTTTTTATAGAAGGTAAGAATGTATCATAATGTAGACAAGGGAAGATGCAAGAAATCTTGTATTTAGTGCTACTGCAGAAAGCAGCCTTCAGCCTATCTCTTTCCCAGACATCTATGTAAATTGCTAGGGAACACACAAAAGTTTCAGGGAGTTACCTTCTGAGAGTATCAAGAAGAGAAAGAAGTTGTCATACTGTTTTATCTATACATAATGGATGATAATCAGAGATATGCAATGTCACCTTTGACTCCCAGAAAACGGCTCAACTGTGACCTAACTGACAGTGTTATTATATCCACAGAAAGTGTGTGTCAGTAAGGAGTGTTGATCATAAAGGGAACATAAAAAAAATGGTACTGATAGACTTAAGTTGGTAGTGCCTCCTATGGACTCCATTGTGTCCTCCCAAAACATATGTTGAGATCCTGACCCCTGTACCTGTGGATCTGACCCTGTTTACATAAGGGCTTTTATTTTGTTATTTTAATGAGGTCATACAAACGTAGTGTGAGTCCTAAACCTAATCACTTCTGAGTTATAAAAAGATCAGAATAGACACAGAGACACATACGGGGGAAGACAGATGCCAAAGAATACCAGAGAATGCCAAGGATCACCTAGGATTGCCATCAAACACCAGAAACCAAGAGAGAGGCTCACACAAGAAACTGACGTGGCTGAGACCCTGATTTGGACTTTGAGCCTCCAGAACTGTGAGAAAATAAATTTCCGCTCTTTAAAGCCACCCACTTGTGATATTTCTGTTATGGGAGCACTGGGTAACTAACACAGGGCTCATCTAAGGTTGGCTCAGGAAAAAAAAAGGCTCTAGACAGAGTGCCTGGTTGACGGTATAAAAACCCACTGCCACTGAGTTGATTCCAAAGAAACATAGATATATGTTAACCTGTATATTCTAGACATAGTGCTTATTCCTGAAAATGCTTATATTTTTGGGAAGACCTAAAATAAGAGCTAATTTTTTTGACAGCTTCCAGAAGAGGAATTTGCCAAAATGACATATTTTTTTCTGAGCTTAAAATACATGTATCCAGGGAGAATGGTTATCAAGTACATTTTAGGTTTGCACAAATGCTTTTCCATACCAGTCAAAAAACCAATCTGAAAATGCAATCACTATCGCTTTTTTCTCAATAATGCTTTACTGTCAACTTTCCAGATAAATAACTACATATGATTACTTTCATGAAGCAGTGTTTGTTCCCTGGAAACTATGACTGACATAATCCTTCAGATCTGTAATTTCCAGTGCTACTTCTAACAACAAAGCCTCCTTTCCACTCCTGAGAAAGGCCGACAAGACAGTCTCTGTTCAGTAGCTGAGGAGATGTGTTTTAAAAAAGTTAAATTAGATGCTGCCACTCCCTTGCTTAAAACCTTCTGGGAGTTTCCCATCTCACCTGGAATAAAATGTAAGGTCTTTATTATGGCCTGTGTCTACCCCTTGGAGCCCTGGTTAAGAGTGCAGCTGCTAAACAAAAGGTTTGCAGTTCGAATCCACCAGCTGCTCCTTGGAAACCCTATGGGGGCAGTTCTACTATGAGTTGGAATCGACTCGACAGCAGTGAATTTGGGTTTTTGTGTTTGGTCCACCCCTTGGACCTCATTTCTCCCCCATGGGGCCTGGCTACCATTGCCTTCTTCCTGCCCCTAGAACTTGTTAGGCACATTCCTTTCTCAGGGATCTTGAACTTGTTGATCCATCTGCCTGAACTCTCTACTTCCGATTCAGCATCGCAGGCTCTGATTCCTTTTTGTTATTCAGCTCAAAATCATCTCCTTATTGCCCATCTCATCTAAATCTGGATCCTACACCCTTCGTTAGCCACTATTATCCTATTACTGTATTTTATTCATAGCACTTATCACTAGTGAAATTATGTTGTTCACTTATTTGATAACTTTTAATTTATTATTTATTTCTCCCCATTAAAAAGTTCCAAGAGGGCAGGGACTTTGCCTTCTTTTTCATTACTGTATCCCTAGTACTTGGCACATGGTAATTACTCAATAAATGTTTGCTGAATGAGTGAGTTAGTGAATGAATGAACAGCTCAGCAGAGAAACACTGGTAGAGTCGGGTCCATTACATCCAGTCTCCTCTGACTTCTCTAAAATCACATGTTCTGGGGAAGTAAAGGTTATCAATGAGTTATCAATAAAGGTTATCTATGAGTTAAAACAGAAGAAACATGTGCCTCTCCAGGGCACTGAAACATTTAGAAAAAATAAATTTTGCGAAGCAGTAAATGAGATTAAATGAGATAAAAGAAACGCAATGACTGTATCTACTATTTACCCATTCCTTAGTCTACTGAGGATGTGTGAAAATTACCTGAGAACAGGTATCTCTTAGCTTGACTGTGTTTCATTTTTCCCTTTTCATGTAGCAGTTTCACAGCAGCCTTAAATATCTTCTTGATCTCATCTGATATCTCTTGCCATTTCTTCTCATTTTCAGTATTGGCAGAAGACTGCATCTATGCGAATGTAAAAGTAAGATATTACTCTTAAAATCATCAAGATAACAATATTCAAGAGAAAGAGAACTGCTATTATTTGAAGGTGCTGGGTAGTATAAACAGCTTGCACTCAACTACGAACTTAACCGTTATTGGCGATTGGAACCCAACCAGTGGCCTCATGGAAAAAAGGCCTGACAATCTGCCTCTATATAAAGACTATAGCCAAGAAAATCCTATGGAACAATGGTGCTCTGTAACACATGGGGTCGCCATGAGTCAGAATCGACTCAAAAGCAATGTTTTTTCTTCTTTTTAACTATGTGCCAACACCATGATAGGTGCTTTATGGACAGTATCTCATTTAATCCTCTCAGTAACCCTGAAAGAAGGAAATTACTATCTCCATGTTATAGGTGAAGAAACTGAGGGTCAGAGATGTGTAAACTTTCCAAAAGTTATGGAAGGATGTGAACCCTAACAGGATTTATTTGGCTTTAAAGCCTATGGAATTTTTAATTATTTTTTTTCTCCTGAGTTATGATACAAATAGCATAAGAAAATAATCTCCCATATTCTCCAAAGGGGAGAAAAATTAAACATGAAGGTGGGAGAGATCAGACGGTTATTTTTCACATTAGGTTAAAACTCACAAAGAAAAAATGTCAGAGATTTAATAATAATGACAAGATTCTTCCAAAGCGGGTTGTTGCTATCATTCTGGTGAGGTTTATTTTACCTCCTGTTGAACTCTGAGGGGAGCTCTGGTGGCACAGTGGTTAAGAGCTATGTCTGCTAACCAAAGGTTGGCAATTTGAATCCACCAGCTGCTCCTTAGAAACCCTATGGGGCAGTTCTGCTCTGTACTATAGGGTCACTATGAGTTGGAACTGGCTCCACGGCAACATGTTTGGCTTTTTTTTTTTTTTTTTTAACACTCTCAGGCTCACTGTGGTGTTTTATTACTGAAGGCAGCAGAGAAAGGGAAGCCATTATTTTCTTAATAAAGC